ATGGAGAAGGACGCTCTCTGTGTACTGATATGAAAAGATATCCAAGGCGAGTTAAGTGAAAAAAATCAAGGTATAGAATAGTATATACAGGGGCGCCTGGGTGGCTCAGTTGGTTAAGCGACTGCCTTCGGCTCAGGTCATCATCCTGGAGTCCCAGGATCGAGTCCCACATCGGGCTCCCTGCTCAGCAGCGGGTCTGCTTCCCCCTCTGCCCTCTTCCCTCTCGTGCTCTCTGTCTCTCATTCTCTCTCTCTCTCTCAAATAAATAAATAAAATCTTTTAAAAAAAAAAAAAGAATAGTATATACAGTGTGCTACATTTTGTGATAAAAATGAAAAATAAGAAGACATATGTTAGCCATTAAAAAAGAATGAAATCTTGCCATTTGCAACTGCATGGATGGATATGGAGGGTATAAGGCTAAGTGAAATAAGTCAGTCAGAGAAAGACAAATATCATATGATTTCACTCATATGTGGATTTTAAGAAACAAAACAAAGAAAAAAAGAGACAAAAAAGAAGAATTAACTATAGAAAACAAACATGGTTACCAGAGGGGAGGTGGTGGGGGAAAGGCAGGGATGGGTGAAAGAGATGAAAAGAATTAAGAGTGCACTTATGGTGATGAGCACTGAGTAACGTGTAGAACTGCTAAATCACTATATTGTACACCTGAAACTAATAAAACACTAATTATACTGGAATTTTTTTAAATGTACATATATCTTTACTTGCTTATATGTGCATAAAGAAACTCTAGAAGGATATGGAAGAAACAAATACCAGAAGTTATCCAGAAAAAATTAAAGAGATAAGATCAAGGGTGGGAAAGAGAGTTTTCACTGTAAACCTTACATACTTTTTAAATTTCTGAACCATGTTAGGGGCGCCTGGTGGCTCAGATGGTTAAACGTCTGCCTTCGGCTCAGGTCAGGATCCCAGGGTCCTGGGATCAAGCCCTGCATCGGGCTCCCTGATCCTTGGGAGCCTGCCTCTCTCTCTCTCTCTCTTTCTCTCTGTGTGTCTCTCATGAATAAATAAATAAAATCTTTAAAAAAAAAATTTCTGAACCATGTTAATATATTTCTATTTTCAAATATTTAAATAAAAACAATTTAGAAAAATAGGCTATAATTATAATAATTATTGCTTAATTCTATGTTAAGTAATAATTTTCTTCCTATCTTTTCTTCCATTCTGATCTTAATTAGTCAAAAATTCTAGTTCTCAGGAAACAAATTAATTACCTAGCACATATAAGCTAAACATATAATTATGATTAAAAGAATTTATTCTTTCCTCCTCCTCCAATATCTTCACCTAAATTGACAATTAAGGATAGCAAGGGTCATCTAGCTAGTGAAAGAGAAATACATCTTCCTTGACTTCTGAATGGATAATATCACCAGCATAAAATTTTAATATATATTTTCCACTTAAAATTTTTAAATAGCTACACTGTCCAGCGGGCCTACTGACTGACATTACAATTTTACAAATATTACAGCATTATAATTTCCAGCTGTGTGTGTTATTTTTCAAAATAACAACCAAAAAAATTGCAAACAGATTTCCGATTTAGCAAACAAATTGAATGGGCCCTCACTGTCCCTGGGTAAAGTGCCTCAGTAATCCTGTGCAGACACGACCCCTCTCTTACCACGGACACTGTACTCCTCCCACAGAGAACTTCTGAGGTCAATTTAGAAATCTCACACCTCCAGGGTTTTCCATAGTGCATACCATAGTGCATAGTGCATCCATTCTCCAAACTCTTATCTAGCTTTAAAAGCTCAGCTTAGGGGCACCTGAGTGGCTCAGTAGGTTAAGCGTCTGCCTTCAGCTCAGGTCATGATCTCAGGGTCCTGGGATGGAGCCCCGCATCGGGCTCCCTGCTCAGCCAGGTGTCTGCTTCTCCCTCTCCCCCTGCCCCTACTCGTGCTCTCTCTCGCCCACTCTCTCAAATAAATAAATAAAATCTTTAAAATAAAAAATAATAAATAAATAAAAGCTCAGCTTAAATGAGTCTGATACTTTCCCAAATCTCTGTCAGAATTAATCTTATCCTCATTTGAGAAACAAGACAGAGGATCATAGGGGAAGGGAGGGAAAAATGAAACAGACAAAACCAGAGAGGGAGACAAACCCTAAGAGACTCCTAATCTCAGGAAACAAACTGAGGGTTGCTGGAGTAGAGCGGGGTGGGAGGGATGGGGTGGCTGGGGGAAGGGACACTGGGGAGGGTATGTGCTATGGTGAGCGCTGTGAATTGTATAAGACTGATGAATCACAGAGCTGTACCCCTGAAACAAATAATATATTATATGTTAATAAAAAAAGAATTAATCTTATCCTCTATTTTTATACAACCTAACTATTTTACAGTCAATTAATGTGCCTAGAGATCTGTTTGCCCCAACTAGAAGGTGTGATCATTAGAAGAAATACTTTCTATTCATATTTATATCCATGTGGAAAATCCTTAGTTCTTATTAATAATAGTAATTGTACTAACAACATGGAGAAAAACAAAAGCCAGCTACTGTGCCAGACATAATGATAAATGCATTACTTCACTTAATTCCCAGGACAGCCTGAAGCCATTTTACAGAAAAGGAAACAGAGGCTCAGAGAGTAGAAGTAACTTGTTCAAGTTGCTTATCCTTTCTACAGGTAGTAAAAAGCAGAATGAGCCTTCAAACCCAATGTCTCTGCCTCCAAGGCATATATTCTTAACCACTAGGCTTAGAACTTAGTAGAGTGATTAATATTTTCATTATTACTGCAATGGACTGAGTGTTGGTATCCCCCCAAAATGCACATGTTGAAATCTTAACCCCCAAGGTGATGTTTTAGAGGAGATGGGACCTTTGGGAGGTGATTAGGTCATGAGGGTGAGGCCCTCAAGATGGGATTAGTGCCCTTATAAGGCACCCCATGAGGTGCCTGGGTGGCTCAGTGGGTTAAGCGTCTGCCTTCGGCTCAGGTCATGATCCTGGGGTCCTGGGATCAAGCCCCACGTCAAGCTCCCTGCTCAGCGGGCAGTCTGCTTCTCCCTCTCCCTTTCCCTCTGCCCCTCATCCCACTTTTTTTCTCTCTCTCAAATAAATGAATAAAATCTTAAAAAAAAAAAAAGGTACCCCAGAGATCTTTCTCTCCTCCATTCTACCATGTGAGGATACAACTTAGCAGTCTGCATTCCTGAAGAGGGCCCTCACCAGAACATGACCACCCTGATCCAGCCTCTAGAACTGAGAAATAAATTTCTGCTGTTTATAAGCCACCCATAGTAGTCTATGCTACTTTGTTACAGTAGCCCACACTGACTAAAATAATTACCCTTTTCTAAAAATTAGAATTGTAGGGCGCCTGGGTGGCTCAGATGGTTAAGCGTCTGCCTTCGGCTCAGGTCATGATCTCAGGGTCCTGGGATCGAGTCCCGCATCGGGCTCCCTGCTCCTTGGGAGCCTGCTTCTCCCTCTGCCTCTCTCTCTGTCTCTAATGAATAAATAAATAAAATCTTTAAAAAAATAAATAAATAAATAAAATAAAAATAAAAATAAAAATTAGAATTGTATTTTACAAAGGCTTTCAAATTATAGAAGCCATTAGGAGTGGAAGGAAAAAACAAGCTTTGTCTCCATGTTCAAATGCTTCTATACATAATCTGTCACTTTTTATCTGCCCTTCAGTAGCTAATTAGTTCATCCCCTAGATCACTGGAGGATATTTTCCTCTCACTACTTTCCTCTGACTTCCTGAGACTATCAAACAGATCAAGCAGATCAAGCACATTAGGCAGTATCTCCCCCATTCCTCCTCCCAACCTTGACACCCACCCTGTGCCTAATTAACGCTCCCTCCTATGGCCTGAGAAACAGAAATGGGAACCCCTTGGATCTGAAGGGATTTAGTCTTGATTTATTCATTCAAATATTTGCTAAAATCACTTTTAAGTGTCAGGCACCAAGACCTGCCCTCTGTGAGTTTACAGGAGAGTAAGGAAGGCGGACGAAGAGGCCTCCTCAATCTTTGCTCTTCCTTTCTTTCATTATTGTCGGTAATTATGAGATTAGCAGCAATAAGAAATACATATGCTGGGACGCCTGGGTGGCTCAGTCCATTAAGCACCTGCCTTCGGCTCAGGTCATGGTCTCAGGGTCCTGGGATCGAGCCCCACGTCAGCCTCCCTACTCTGTGGGAAGCTTCCTTCTCCCTCTCCATCTGCCCCTCCCCCTGCTTATGCCCTCTTGCTCACTCTCTCAAATAAACAAAATCTTAAAAAAAAAAAGAATTACAGATGTTTGTAGATTTGGACACACAAATAAACAAAAAGCAAAAATAAAACTGTTAGAATCATTCATAATTCTATCAGAAGTGACTATTATAGGAGTTTGGCTATATGTTCCCTTCCATTTTTTAAACAAGCTCAAGTTTACCGGAAATTTTTAAAAAACCTTCTTCAGCTGATACTTAAAAAGTATTTTCCAACACTATAATGAGAAACAGCCTTCCTCAAGATATAAGCTAGATTCATGTGCTCAACAGGTCATTTCGGGTCCCCATTGAACATGTGTCTCTGGGAAGGTACCTTGAGGGTCTTATTCTCTATCCCCAGCCCCGACATTCAGTCAGAGCTCACTCATGCTCATGAAATGAAAGACTGAATGGATGAATCAATGATGTAGAGTACTGAAATCTAACAAATCAAATCTTGACATGGTTATTAGCTCATAAATCAGGCACTCTTTGTGCTGAAAGGTCAAGATACAGAAAGAATTCAAGGAGAAAATTAATTCCTAAAAGGAAAAAGCTATTTTATTCTTACTAGATAGGGGGAAAAGAACTCTGCAAAAATAAAATAATAAAAGCTACCATCTCATTTAATTCTGTATAACATCATGGTCACAGTCTTAAGACAACTAAAAACACAGCAATCCAACTCTACAGCAGCAGCCGTCTAGCCAAGTGCTATTAGCCCAATCTCACAAGAGTTATACCTGAACGGAAGATAGGGGGGGTTTGAGCCAGATAGGAGTGCTCTGTAGGCTTCTTCCGGTGTCTTCTTTAAATAGATTACCTAAGACAGATAAATAGCAACATTTAGAACACCACCAAAGAATGACACAAAACTAATTTAATTACTCACCAAATTTGCATTTCCCTTTTTCCACTTTGACAACTGTCAGTCATGGTGATAATGCTAACCTTTAAAAGACAGCAACCAAGCTGCCAAAATTTCCTTTTCGGCTTGAAGCTAAACTGCAGCCTTTGGCTTAGAAATGGGTAAGAGCTTAGAGACAGAGGGCAGATCCATAAAGAGGCCATCCAGGGCTGTTTACAAGGCACACTGAACAGATACAATGGCAGAGTTTTCCCTTTTGGGAGCAGAACAATTCTACTTCCATTATTGTACTGTGCATTCACAGTACAATAAAATACAGTAAAATAAATCACAACAAAACTGAAAATGAATGCAGGTAAGAGCACTAGAGGGGCACCTGAGTGGCTCAGTCGGTCAAGCGCCCGACTCTTGGTTTCGGCTGGGGTCGTGGTCTAGGGTTGTGGGATCAAGCCCCACATGGAGCTCCATGCTCAGTGCAGAGTCTTCTTGGGTTTCTTCTCTCTCTCTCTCTCTCTCAAATAAATAAATAAAAATATTCAAAAATAATTTTTTTTAAAAAGAGCACTAGAAAACACACTGGCTTGACTGTTGACATCGAGGATACTTAAATAAATCCCTCTGGCCCAGCATGATAAACTAATCTTAAAGAAACAAAAAGGAGCTCTTAAAACCAGTAAACAACTTAATCAGCATACTGACTATATAATATGTGCCAGGTACTGGTACCTCTCTTAATAGAATTTACATTATGGGGCAAAGACAATAGTTAACAAAATAAATACAGTCTGAGATAGGTGCTAAAAAGGAAATAAACAGGGTTCTGGAAAGAGAATAGAAAGGGGCTACTTGAGGGAAGGCACAGGGAGGGCTCCCTGGTAGACATGTAGGGTAAGATCTGCAGGGGACAGTCCACGGAAAAGCAAGGAAGAGGAGGAAGGGCTTGCCAGGCAGCAGGAATAACGAGGGCACCATCCTTGCTGAGGGAAAGAGCTTGGTGATTGGACAGAGAGATCCTCGGTGTGGCTAGAACACGGGAAGGAGAACCAAGTGGCAGCCAAATAGTGCAGAGCAATACAAACCATAGGCAGACTCCGATTTTATTCTAAGTATAATTTAATATCTTAACTTTGAGCTGAGGACATTGGTCATTTTCCTCTATAGTTTGAATCAAATTTTATTCCCAAAGATCCTCTCTACCTAGAATTAATGGCATTATTTCAAAACCCTGTGCATTTCAGCAAGAGTGGCAGGGTCTCAGTTCTTAAAAAGCAGGATCTTCCTCTTTACTTACAAATTTCCTTTGAGTTTTAAGCTATCCCACTAGCAATATATTACATGCATTTTTAATTATTAACATTTTCAGAACTAGAAAACACCTTAATTCTGTCTTCTCTAAAGAAAGGAAACTAAAATAAATACATAAAAGAGACTTCCAGCGTTTAAAAGAAAGCTCTATATTCATTTGACAAGTAAGTCTGACAGTCTGATAGGGCACACACCAACCAAAGCCAATCGAACGTGAAACCAAAACAGCCCAGAAAATGAAACCACCGTAAAAGAATGATCTAGACGTGAGTCAATGATTCTACAAAGGAAGAATCACAGCTCTAGTTGCAGCTCAAATAATTAGAAAAATCCACTTAAACCAAACCTAGCTTTAAAACCCCTTTTGAGTAACCAATATGAAAACAGGATTTTGCTGGGCCTTAATGGGTAGGTTATACCCTATAAAGAGAGTCGGTTATAATGCAGTGATTTCTCAAGCCTAAAGATGCAGCACCACTGGAAAGTTGACTACCTCTGCTAAAAGGGAAAGCTGCTGCTATAAAAGGCTTCTGGGTTTGGATGGCGTAATTAAAGCTCAGACAACGACCTTTGAAAAGCAAAACTACATTTCCCTCCTCAGGAGCAATTACATTAATTCCCTTTAATTTCGAGGCAGCCATTCTGCAAGAGAGGCAACAGTCCACATGAAATCCTTCTTTAGACTGGATACCCCACAGGGTTTAGCTACTCATCTTACCTGCATGACTTAGCACACATGACCCATGTTCTCACACTGTAAGATGAGAGTCTGTTTTTATTTTTATCCCAGTGCTAAATTATTAATAAGTGCAAAGTGAAACCCAGCAGAGGCCATATAAATTCCATGAAGGGTCCGGGGGCAGGTAAATACAATGCCCTTTTACAACCTGATGATAGGTGAAATGTAATAAATAAGTGCATTACTGTATGTACACATGCTAGGGTCATTAAAATATCAAATTTAGGGGCGCCTGGGTGGCTCAGTCGTTAAGCGTCTGCCTTCGGCTCAGGTCATGATCCCAGGGTCCTGGGATCGCGCCCCACGTTGGGCTCCCGGCTCAGCAGGAAGCCTGCTTCTCCCTCTCCCTTCTCCCCTCCCCCTGCTCATTCTCTCTGGCTCACAGGCGCATGTGCTCTCTCTCTCTCTGAAATGAATAAATAAAAAATTTTTTTTAATAAAACTAAAACCAAATTTAATATCAAAAATTGGTTGCCAGATATTCTAATATCTCTAAAAATATTTTCTGAATAAAATTAATTTCAAAGCATCTTCTAAATATTTTGATTTTCCTTTTCTGCTTCCCAGGGGAAGAAATAATATGCTGTCTACTTTCCTCACTAGATATTAGCATAGATAAACCCAAACTGAAAGAATCTTCCCAAACTTTTGATAGGTTAAATTTAACAAAAGCCTTCTGCATAGTGCTTGGTGTATGTATCATGCTAAGTTACCCCTGGAGGAGCATTAGCTTTTATCAGAGTGCACTACTCTTGCCAGGAAGTCCTCGAAACTTCTCAATAGAACAGCACTGGACATAATGCGGGGTTTGTTTTTTTTAGATTTTATTTATTTGACAGAGAGAGACACAGCGAGAGAGGGAACACAAGCAGGCGGAGTGGGAGAGGGAGAAGCAGGCTTCCCGCAGAGCAGGGAGCCCGATGTGGGGCTCGATCCCAGGACCCTGGGATCATGACCTGAGCCGAAGGCAGATGCTTAACCGACTGAGCCACCCAGGTGCCCCTATTTCATTATTTTTTATTTTTATTTTATTATTTTTTTTAAGATTTTATTTATTTGACAGAGAGAGACAGCGAGAGAGGGAACACAAGCAGGCGGAGTGGGAGAGGGAGAAGCAGGCTTCCCGCTGAGCAGGGAGCCCGATGTGGGGCTCGATCCGTGGATCCTGGGATCATGACCTGAGCTGAAGGCGGACACTTAACGAGTGAGCCACCCAGGCGCCCCGCATTTTTTTTAATTTACTAGAAGCCAACCAATTAAAGTGATTGTGTTTTTGCTTAATTAACTTTAATGCCAGGTACCAAGGACCCAAATAACTCTCTCAATTTCTTTACTAAAAGATTCTTAAAGAGCCAGCATTCTAAAATAAATAAATAAATAAATAAATAACCAATGGCTATGAGGTTTTTGTTTAACAACATCACTGAAGTTATAGTACTATAAGATAGCATAATTTATATGATTTACCAATAAGCCAATGTTTCCCACACTTTAATGAATCATGCATCAACTTTCCCAACTTCCCCCACCACAAGCAGCACCGTGTATTACTATTTCTCTTTAAACAGACACACCCATTTAAATCAATTTATTCTAAAGTGTTTTATATCATTGCTATTAACAGAAAACCAATATCATTTGCCATGTAGAGTCTAGACATAAATGAATATTAAAATACATAATTTAAAATATTCAAAGGTTTGTGCACACCACACATTGAGAAACAATGCTTCAAAATATCAAGTTTGGGGGGCGCCTGGGTGGCTCAGGCGTTAAGCGTCTGCCTTCGGCTCGGGTCATGATCCCAGGGTGCTGGGATCGAGCCCCGCATCGGGCTCCCTGCTCCGCGGGAAGCCTGCTTCTCCCTCTCCCACTCCCCCTGCTTGTGTTCCCTCTCTCGCTGTGTCTCTCTGTCAAATAAATAAATAAAATCTTTAAAAAAAAAAAAATCAAGTTTGGGCTAATTTTATAGAAGAACAGCAGACCAACTTGGGAAGTTAAATAAAATCCTCTTTAAATTAATCCAAAAATACTTCTAAATCATTTCTTTTTACTAAATCCTATGGTCATTAAATCTTTAAAGCCTGTCGAGAAATAATATGCATAAATTTCAGAAGCATTTTGAAATTTACAATGATATTTCTCTACTCAGATCATTTAATTTCTCTGATACATAAAAGGTGATTCTTCAAACAACAAATGGCTTAATATAGAAGGGCTACACCAGACTTTGAGTCACAAATTGGCTGATGGTCTTTCTCTGGGGACATTTGCCTCAGTTCTAAGTATGTGTTTAGCTGTGTTTTTAGGGGCTATTATTTCTCCAAAAAAGACTTATTATAAAACGCAACACATACACACAACCCATATATATCTAAAGATGAAACCTGTGCTCCTATTTTAATTATATTTATTTTCTGTGATCTGTAAAGTGGAAATACTCTTGAGAATTTGATTTGGTCATCTGAGAGAGTATTCTTTAATTGTGGCATTTGATTTCCTGTTATTTGTTTACTATTTTGCTTGTTTATAAAAGAGAAAACAGATGCTGAGAACAGCCTTTCCCAGTCAAGTACCACCACCAGAACACGGACATGATAGCTGTGGATTAGCATTCTGACCGTTGCTGAGTCAATTAAATTTCTTCAAAATAGAAGTTTCCAGAAAACAGATGTTATAACTTAAAAACAGTCTAGAAGCCCTAAAACTTACCAAATATGGAAGACTTAAACCAAAAGAGAAATTTTCCTTAAAATTTTCAGACAGGTAGTTCTAGCATATACAGAGTGCTAAATGGGGACGTTACAAAGATGTCCTTCTGTGTGATATGTGCTTTGGATTCTATTCCACTAAATTAACAGTCATGCATGGGCCCCTTTCCCAAGCCCCATATAACTTAAAATTATCACAC